TCCCCGAGATTCTTTAAAACTACTTCACAAACAAGACGAACGAGGTTCCCGAGATTCTTTCGAACTACTTCATAAGCAAAAACGGGGTTCCCCAAAATTCTTTTAGATTACTTTCAAAACAAAATGCAAGGGGTCCTCGAGAGTCTTTCAAATTACTTCAAAGACAAGAAAACAGGCGTCCAGAAATTATTTCAAACTATTTTAAAAACCAAATACAAGAGGTTCCCTAGATTCGTTCCAACTACTTCAAAAATAAAACAAAAAGGGTCCCCGAAATGCTTTCAAACAACTTAAAAAACCAGATACAAGAGGTCCCCGAGTTTCTATTACACTACTGCAAAACCAAAACAAGAGAAGTCCCCGAGAGTTTTTCAAACTACTTCAAAAATCAGAGATAGTCACCGAAATTTTTTCAAACTATTTAAAAAACCAGACATAAGTAGTCTCCGAGATTTTTTCAAACTACTTCATAAATGAAACAAAAGGGGTCCCCAAAATTCTTTCAAAGCACTTCAAAAACAAAACACCAGAGGTCCGCGAGATTTTTTCAAATTACTTCAAAAACATGACAAGGGATCTCCAAGAATCTTTCAACCTACTTCACAAACAAAACAAACGGTGTTCATGAGATTCTTTCGAACTCATTGATAAATAACAAAAGGGGTCCTCAAAATTATGTCAAACCACTTCAAATACCTTACACAAGTGGTCCCCAAGATTCTTTTAAATTATTTCAAAGACAGGACAAAAGGAGTCATTAAAATTCATTCAAAGCACTTCAAGAAGAAAACACCAGGGTTCCCCGAGATTATTCCAAATTACTTCAAAAACAAAACAAGGGATCCACAAGCATCTTTCAAACTACTTCACAAACAAAACAAACGAGGTTCCCGAGATTCTTTCGAACTAGTTCATAAACAACAAAAGGGGTCCTCACAATTATTTCAAACTACTTTAAAAACTTTACACAAGTGGTCCTCGAGATTCTTTAGAACTATTTCAAAAACAAAGTGCAAGGGGTTATCGAGATTATTTCAAATTCTTCAAAGACAATACAAACGGAGTCCCCAAAATTATTTCAAAGCACTTCAAAAACAAAACACAAGAGGTTCAAGAACTAGACACATGGAGTCCTCGAGATTCTTTCTAATTACTTCAAAAACAAGACAAGCAATCTCTAAAATTCTTTCACACTGTTTCGGAATTCAGGTACAAGGAATTCCCAAGAACTTTCAAACTACTTCAAAAACCAAACAAAAGAGGTTGCCTAGATTCGTCCTAACTGCTTCAAAAATATAACAAAAAGGATCCCCGAAATTCTTTCAAACTACTTATTAAACCAGACACAAAAATTCCCCGAGTTTCTATCACACTTCTTCAAAACCAAAACAAATGGAGTCCTCAAGGTTCTTTCAAACTACTTCTAAAACCAGAGATAAAGGGTCGCCGAAATTTTTCAAACTATTTCAAAAATCAGACATAAGTAGTCCCCGAGATTCTTTCAAACTACTTCATAAACGACAAAAAGGGTCCTCAAAATTATTTCAAACCACTTCAAAAACCTTACACAAGTGATCCCCGAAATTTATTCAAATTACTTCAAAGACAAGACAAAAGGAGTCCCCAAAATTATTTCAAAGCACTTCAAAAACAAAACACAAGGGGTTCAAAATCTAGACACATGGAGTCCTCGAGATTCTTTCTATTACTTCAAAAACAAGACAAGCAATCTCCGAAATTCTTTCAAACTACTTCAAAAATAATACCAAAAGGCTCCCCAAGATTCTTTCAAACTGTTTCACAAAACAAGCACAAGGGATTCCCAAGAGCTTTCAAACTACTTCAAAAACCAAACACAAGAGGTTGCCAAGATTCGTCCTAACTGCTTCAAAAATAGAACAAAAATGTTCCCCGAAATTCTTTCAAACTACTTAAAAAAACCAAACACAAAAAGTCCCCGAGTTTCTATTACACTTCTTCAAAACCAAAACAAAAGGAGTCCCCAAGGTTCTTTCAAACTATTTCTAAAACCAGAGATAAAGGGCCACCGAAATTTTTTCACACTATTTCAAAAACCAGACATAAGTAGTCCCCGAGATTCTTTCAAACTACTTCATAAACGACAAAAGGGGTCCTCAAAATTATTTCAAACCACTTCAAAAACCTTACACAAGTGGTCCCCGAGATTTATTCAAATTACTTCAAAGACAAGACAAAAGGAGTTTCCAAAATTATTTCAAAGTACTTCAAAAACAAAACACAAGGGGTTCAAAAACTAGACACATAGAGTCCTCGAGATTATTTCTAATTACTTCAAAAACAAGACAAGCAATCTCCGAAATTCTTTCAAACTACTTCAAAAATAATACCAAAAGGATCCCCGAGATTCTTTCAAACTGTTTCAGAAAGCAGGGACAAGGGATTCCTAAGAGCTTTCAAACTACTTCAGAAACCAAACACAAGAGGTTGCCTAGATTCGTTCCAAGTGCTTCAAAAATAAAACAAAACGGATCCCCGAAATTTTTCCAAACTACTTAAAAAAGCAGACACAAAAAGTCCCCGAGTTTCTATCACACTTCTTCAAAACCAAAACAAAAGGAGTCCCCAAGGTTCTTTCAAACCACTTCTAAAACCAAAGATGAAGGGTCACCGAAATGTTTTCAAACTATTTCAAAAACCAGACATAAGTAGTCCCCGAGATTCTTTCAAACTACTTCATAAACGACAAAAGATGTCCTCAAAATTATTTCAAACCACTTCAAAAACCTTACACAAGTGGTCTCCGCGATTTATTCAAATTACTTCAAAGACAAGACAAAAGGAGTCCCCAAAATTATTTCAAAGCACTGCAAAAACAAAACATAAGGGGTCTCCGAGATTTTTTCAGATTACTTCAAAAACAAGACAAGCAATCCCCGAAATTCTTTCAAACTATTTAAAAAAACAAACACAAGAAGTCCCCGAGGTTCTTTCAAACTGCTTCTAAAACCAGAGCTAAGAGGTCCTCGAAATTTTTTCAAAGTATTTCAAAAACGAGACATAAGTAGTCCGCGAGATTCTTTCAAACTACGTACCTCATAAACAACAAAAGGGGTCCTCAAAGTTCTTTCAAACTACTTTAAAAAGCTTACAGAAGTGGTCCCCGAGATTCTTTAAAACTACTTCATAAACAAAATACAAGGGGTCCCCGAGATTCTTTCAAATTACTTCAAAAACAAGATAAGGGATCCCCAAGAATCTTTAAAACTCATTCATAAACAAAACAAAGGGATTCTCCGTGATTCTTTCGAACTACTTCATAAACAACAAAAGGGGTTCTCAAAATTTTTTCAAACTATTTCAAAAACCTTATACAAGTGAAGCGCGAGATTCTTTTAAACTACTTACTTCATACACAAAACGTAAAGGTTTCTCGAGATTCTTTCAAATTACTTCAAAGACAAGACATCACGAACAGGGGCGGATTCGGCCATCTGGAAATCGGGAATTTTCCAGAGGTCAAAGTAGCCGTGGTACACTAGAGCGCTCGTGTTCGAATTAAAATTTTTTTGTACTTTTAAATAAAGTAAAATTTCGGTCTTTCAGGCGCCAGTCTAAATTTTTCCCACTCTGGTTAAGCAGTTTTATTATTAGCACTAGCTATATCCGCGGCTTCGTTCGCATTTAAGTCATTAAATACATATATAAAAATGATAGACAAAAATAAAAATAAATATAGAAAAATTCCAAGCAGCTGAAACTATAGTCAGTTGGAAACTATAGTAAAAAATACATTTTTTTTAATAAAAAGTATCCTCCAAAAATATGTGTACAAAGTTTCATGATGATCAGTTAAGTAATTCTTGCGTGAAAACGTAACAAACAAACTCACATTCACATTTATATAGTAGGGATGACACTGCACGTGTAGGAAATGACATACGTGTTCTTGCTGAAATGTTGATCGGAACATTTTCAAATTGGAAGACCTACTAGGGTGCCAAAAGGAATATAGTCATTTAGGTTCTTTATTTGTTTTAAAGTCTAAAGGTTATCACAATTAAAGATTTTCAAATCAAATTTTATAATTTTTTAAGGATTGTACTTTAGGGACGAGTCTTGTCAAAATAACCTTCCACCCATTTTTAAGAATATGTTTTGATTTTAAACTCATTTGGAACAATAAACATTTTAATTTGTATTTCGAAAATATAAGTATTTTAAATTTAATATTTGTTACTCGCTATAGATAATTTGCTGACATGTGTAAAATCACAAGAAACTTAAAAAACATAGTTATTTCCACAGAACTTCTCTCGCTCCTGCCAAATACCCTTTTTCGAAAAATTATAAGACTTGATTTTGCGAATTTTATTTTTTAGATAACCCTTCTAAGTTAAAATAAAATGGAGTGAATCATTCTTGATTTAATTAATAAAATAAATTGCCTCCTTCATTAATTTTTTTGAGTCACCCTGTATAAGTATGTAAAAACTATGAGCGCATTGAACAACCACAGCCAAAGAGTCATAAAGGATTTATTAGGCAAAATTTTGAAATGACGTCATCAATTTTATGAGAGGGGATAAACGAATAAATTATGATTAACCATTTACCATGATTACGATAACTTTAAAACGTTTGCAAAGTCAAATTGCAAAATGTTCTTAAACAATTTTGATCTTTTCAAAAATCTGGATGTCTGTGAAACCTCAACAGGGATTCATACATCACAAGTGCAACAGTAAATATTTTACGAAATTAAAAAAATATATATTATTATTGCAAAATTTTTTCCTAATATATATTATATGTATACATGAAACGTCAAAAAAATATGAAAGAGGCAAGTCGCCCGATGGACTTGGCTTACGCTCAGGAAGTAAAAAAAATATCAAACACAAAAATTTTTGATCGCTAGCTGTTATTAAAAATACGTGAAAATCCGAAATGACTTTAAATTACATAATGATAATAATTTGTTGAATAAAAATAAAAGAAATAAACATGTTTGCACTTACCAGCAGAAGGCCTCTGTATGATCACCGGAAGGTTATCCATTTGCTCTGCAACTAGTGCTTCTCCCAGGGCCTTAGTAAAAGTGTAAGTATTCGCATGAGACCCTCTAATCCTAAAAACCCAAACCACTAACTTCGAGTTTTAATTTTTCACAACACTCACTTTTGTGCAATACTATCTAAAGTTGTGTCGCTCATCCATTCACACATTTCGATAACACGATGAGGATCAGCTGGTGGAGGATAACACTTCTCATACAGTACTTCCTCTTGTTCTTGACAGTACGCAGTAGATAAGTGGCAATAAGCCTAAAACCAAGTCCTAAGTACAAAAACACAATAAGAACTTTTAACCTACGACAAGATTCTTGCATTCTTTGGCTAATGCCAGCAGAAGCTTGGCACCTCTAACATTTAAAAGTATGGACTTTCTGAAATCTTCATCGAACTGGACGGTAGCTGCTGAGTGGTAGATGATTTCAACCTCTTCGGTTAGTTTTTTTCGATCTTCGGCAGAAAAACCCAAATCTTGCGCTTCTATATCACCGATTATGACTTCCACTTTGTCAAAAATGTCCTTCCCGTGCTGCTTTTTCAGCAAGTCGTAGAGCTTAAGGTGGAAAAATTGGCAATAAAGTGTAAAATTTTAAGTAAAAACTTACTGGTCCGTCGAATATTTGGTGGAGGCGTTCGGTGGCGGTTCTGCCCTTTTTTGGACGCATGAGGACGTAGAGCTTTTTGAGTTGAGTGCATGATCTTAGAAGCTTCTCGATGAGAACTTTTCCCAAGAAACCACTACCACCGGTAATAAAAATAGTTTTGTTGGCGAAAAAATCGGCAACTCTGTTTGGTTCCGAGTTATCATGAATTTGCACCATTTCACTAAATTCTACAAAAGAAATGGGTTCGATGGAGCCGCGCTGGTATTTATGTTGCCCCCTCTTTTCACTCCACCAATTATCAACTTTTACCAAAATAAAACTATAGCATTTTGAACATACAAGAAAATGTATTCGGAACTCATCTTTAATTAATTTTCGAAGTACAAGAAATTTTAAAATTTAATAATGCACAGTTAGACAGTGGAACGAACGATTTAACTAACGTTAACCGGTCGAACTCAAAGTCCCTTTTTCGTCGTGATGTAAAAGTAAAAGTGGTCAATGAAAAATCTCGCCACACAGGTTCTTGCGTTAAATTTTGTATATTCAAAAGTCGGACGTTTATCGGTACAAATGCTGGGATTACATAAGAGGAAAGTGAAGATTGCTACGGGGTACTTATGTGGAAATTAATAGAATACGGAAATTAAGAAGCGTAAAAAATATAGCGAAGAATAATTTTTCGCATTGCGTTTTACTAATGGCCGGACGATATAATCAACTATGGAAAAAATTGCGAATTAGAAAGTGTATTGTTTTACGAGTGCAGCGGTCAGATGATTTCATAAAAACGGTAAATGCACGTGTAATGACTAATGAAATGTCAACGCTAAATGAAATTACACTTAATAATGTCAAAGTTAATGTCACCGCATTTAACTAAAAATCAGGAAAATTTTCTGCGTGTATCCTTAATCGTGTTTACTTATTTGAATTTGATGTCTCAACGTGTGCTTACATGGAACCAGTTTTTCGCTAAACTAGATTATGAAATTATGTTAGCGAAAGTTATTTCGTTGCCACGAGATTTAAAAAAAATATTGCATTTTTGTGAACTTTATAATTTTTCCCAACCAAGTTGAAGGTGGGACAAGATATAAAATTTGTTAACAGTGCAACACTCTTTTATTATTATTAAAATCTATTTTTTAGGCCACCATTACAAATCTAGTTGTTTTATGTACCCAATCACGTCCATAAAGTGTCACTTTTTTGTACTCAGATGTCAAAAATTTACTTTTGCGTTCTTGGACTCGTGCTTTTGACCAACATTTTGTCAACTGAAAAAGCTAGAAGCGCCGTTGGCACTTGAACTCGACCTTTCTGAATATCGTTATGAAACCTAACGGCACCAATTTATTTTAACTTTGGTTTTTAAGTCAGCAGGACTTTTCCGCCTACAACGAAAGATATTTTCTAACCTTAAAATCACTTACATAACACAACAAATAACTTTTAGTCGCCTAAAAACGTTATGGGTACCTCGGCCAAAAAGAGCTTTTTCGGCCTCCAACAAAAAGTTCTTCTTTATGGCTTGATACACAAATTATTGGTGATTTTGTTAAGTTCTTCCTTTTATTTTAATCAGGAGGTGCTGCGATTTAAATTATTTTGCTTACTTTTTAGTAGTAGGTGGTTACTATTTTGTTTTGTCTGCTCCGTCGAATCTTAAAAACGCCGGAAGAAACGGTTTTCACAAAAAATGTATATTTCCCAATTTAGAGAAATAGGAATAATAGGGCATTTTAAAGTTTCCGTTCAAACTGGACAAAAAAATAAACTTTGAATTCGCTAAAAATCACAAAACCTTGCAAAATGTTTAATTAACTTTAAATAGATGGTTGGTGCATTGTTAATTATTAATTGTAAAAACGAATAGATAATTATGGCTCGATTAGTTTTTAATTTCAATTAGCTTTGTTAATAATTCAAGGAAACTTGTTTTACTCTTAAATTACAATAATAATAATAAAACTTTATGTTGAACCCTTATATTATATGATCTAAGGTTTTAAGGGTCAATTTTTGCTCATTCCAGTATTTACTTTTACATGGAATCCGACGAGCAGCTTTTTTGGAGGGCTATAGATTTTTTTGTATTGAATCGAAAAAAAGTCCCCTAGTAAGTTGTCACGAAGTTCAGCAATGTGTTCCTGGTGCGGTTTGCAGCATGGTAAATCGTTAATCAAAATAAATCTGTTTATTCTCTCCGAAAATAATAAATTCTACCCAAAATGTGCAAAATATGATGAGTTTTTACTTGTGATTCATATTTATTATAGATCAAATTATGAACGAGTCACCTCAGTTTCCCGAAATTGTGAAAATACAAACGCTTTTATTTAATAAGAATTGTAATAATGATTTTCAGAACATTTTGTCGATTGTAACAGACTACTTAATAGTTTTGATCCTGTGTTTTGAGGGGACGAACTCATTCAAATCAAACTAGTTTCTACGTGACATTCTGCCGATGTATAAACATAAACATTTTCAAGTTGATTTTCTTATCGAGGATAACCTAAGGACATAGAGTAATGGAGTGCGTCGGGCAAATTGGTACTTTCATATTTTCTCGATCTTTCATAACCCCTAGACAAGGCCGTGCTTAGTGGGAGGCTAGAGGATGATCAAATCTAGGCAAGTTATAATTAACCAAATATGAATTACAACATCGAAAATCAAAATAAAATGTAGTGTTTTATTCAATTAGCGGAAGTCAGAGCAATAAAAAAGTCTGAACCGTCGACATCAACAGAAATTGCATGATGGAACACCACCACATTTGGGTAGGCCAGTAACTGAATTGTGAAATAACCATTTTCCTAACCAGAAGTCGGTAGAAATGACCCAGTAGCTTGGCGTCCGCGTTCACCCGATCTCAATCCGTGTGATTTTTGTTAGTCGGGTTGGATGAAACAGTTAGTTAGTTTGTGGAAATCAACCAGCAACTATCGAAAAGCTTCAACAATGAGTGAAAGTGGCAGCTGCTACAGTTCGTGGAACTCCCGGGGTTTTCTACGTATCCGTGCTGAACCCTCTGTTGCTAGTCAAGGACAACATTTTCAACATTTATTGTAAAAACTTTTGTCGCGTTTAACACTTGTACTAAAAATTCCGCTTACACTTTTATAAAAAGGAGACCCTCATAGATAAAACGTTGTAAGACGCACGTGTGAAAAGTCTCTTTATGACATTCGTGGCTTTTAAACACTCGTAAAGTCAAAATTACCAAATAAACTTATTCAAAATATTCGCAGCTGATTTCTCTTTAAAATATGACGCTGTGGCACTTATTACCAAATTATAATTCTCAATTAGTCGAAAGCTATAATCCACCAATAAAAAAAATAGTTGCACAAAATTACTAAAAATTTCTGATTACGAGTTTAGCAGAAAAAAATATTCTTGGCTAATTTTTGTAGGTGAAAACTGCGCTGTCAATTGTATCACACTTTCAACTTTTCGCAATTTTTTAGTGGCTAATAAATGATAAGAATGAATAGGTCAAAATATTTAATTTTATAAACGGACCATAAACTGCACACCGAAGTCGTATATGAGATGAACTCGCGCATTTTTCGACCATTTAGAGGTATCAATGAAAGATATTTGTCTATGTTAGTTTATAACATTTACCTTGCCCTTGTTTGCCAGCGGCTATAACGCATGCAACGTAAAAATTCCTTTCTCTTGAGATGTAGCGGTCGGAGTGGTTGCACAACTGTGAAAGATATCTTATTCGATAAGACAATCTTGCGTTACGAAGTTATGCGTTTTACAGAAAGTAACCATTAAAATTATATAACCTTACGCAGTCTGGAATTTTGAATTATTCATCAACGCGGCTAACACTGAGCATAGTGCACATAACCGGAAGTAACGATTATTTATTGTAATAGTGTAATACTTAACACAATAGTGGAAAACATCTAATAGTTTGAGTATACATATTACAACAATAACGATTATGTTTTTGTTTCTATTTTTTGTAACATTATTTAAACGATCGTTTAGAACATCGTTACTATTTATTAACGCAGGAATCACGTGAACATTTGACTTTGTTTATTATGGGAAATTAACAATACTGGATTCTGCAGAAAAGAAAGTGTTGCTTCAATGGAAAGTTATTCATCGGCTTCTTCGCTAAAACGCACAGGATGTAGGTACATATAACCACACCTGTAACTTATTATTTTTCTTTCTTTGTTTTTTCTGAGAATCTTGATCAATACGATTCATCTATTTGTTCCATCCAATAAAATTGACAACGTCATCTCAAATTTTTGTTAAGTAAATCTTGCTTGAAATGCATAAGGCGAGATGTTTCTGTAATTAAATAACGAATCTTTAACAATACGTGTACGTTTATGCAAATAAATAAAGTTGTAAAAGTAAATCTTATTAGTTTGCATGATCTTTTAGAATCTACAAAACCAATATTTGAAATTTTAGCAAAACACTAGTAGTATTTCAGTTAACAATTTACTAGTTCCGAAAATTTATAAACCTAATAACATAAGAAAAAGACAACTTTGATTACATATCAAACAAAACTTTTTTAGTATCATGTGATATGCGCTTAAATTTCCAAAATTAATTAATGGGTGGTAACAGATTAAAATAGTACAGTTTGCAGCTACGGGTCTGACAATAGTCAAGTTTTGAGGTATAATAGGGTGATTATTATAATAACGGGATTCTGACTAATTTTCAATGCAACACAACATTCATCGACCAGTTATTGCTAGATTCCAAAATAAACACATACGTTTTTAGGATCAACGTAGGTACTCTCCTTACTAAGTAGTTGTCACTGTTTCCGAAAGACGTCAATCAACCTTTTCATCGTTCGTGTATTTAAACCCACATCTTATTGCGAAGACTAAAAACTTATCGGGGCTTAACATTGCCAAATAGAATTATTGCGAAAGTATATAAGATATAAGAAATCATTATGCCTTACTGTAAACAGTCTATATGCTTGTGTTCGTTTATTTATTTATTTATTTATTTATTTATTTATTTATTTATTTATTTATTTATTTATTTTGCTAGTATGTCGTTCCGTAAATGGGCTATAGCCTGTGGAAGAGCTTATCAATAATATTATTAATACCATTAATAATAATTAGTACCCGTAATGATAGAAGTCTTGCCTGAATGCCGATCATTTCCGGGTCAGTGGTGGGTCTTAATAATAATAAAAGCAA